GATGTTGAACTCGATCGTCCCCTCGAAGAGCACGCTCTCCTGCGGCACCAGCGAGATCGTGTCCCGGAAGGACACGCCCCGCGTCTGCGTCACGTCCAGGTTGTCGACCAGGATCGACCCGGAGGACGGGGTGTACAGTCGCTCCACGAGCGAGATGATCGTCGACTTGCCCGCGCCGGAGGGGCCCACCAGCGCCGCGAATTTGCCGGCCGGGATGTTCACGCTCAGCCCGTTCAGCACCTTGATGTCCGGGCGCGCCGGGTACGAGAAGTGCACGTCGCGGAGCTGCACGGTTGACGCACCGCCGCTGCCGACATGCTTTTCACTGCTCACGGCATCGGATTCAATGTCCGCGGACAGCGCAGGCGGCAGCCGGTCCACGTTGCCGCGCATCTTATCCGAGCCGATCTCGATCAAACCCAAAATGCGGGCCATGGCGCCCTTGGACGCGGTCAGCTCCGGGGCCAGGGCGAACATCTGACTCCACAGCAGGGCGCTGACCAGCAGGGAGAAGACCACAATCAAAAACTGCGTCTGCGTGTAGTTGCCGTTGGAGATCTGCTTGGCACCCCACCAGTACGCCAGGGCGTTGACCATATTGCCCAAGAAGTAGGTCATCGCCTGCCAGAAGCTGGCCTGCAGCGTCACCTGCAGAGTCTCCTTGCGGGGTCCGCGCAGCGAGCGCCGGTAGGTGCGCAGGGTCACCTCCTCGAGGGCCAGCGAGGCGACCGCCTTGATGGAGGTGATGGCCTCGACGCCGATGTCGACGGACTTGGTGTAGGCGGTCTCGTGCTTCTCCTCGAACTTGCCGAGCACGCGCAGCTCCATGAGGCCGGCGCCCAGCAGGAGCGGCACGAGGGCCAGACACACGAGGGCGATGCGCCAGGCGATGATGTGGGTCATCACGATGGCGGCGATCAGGTTGATGGTGATGGAGATGACGGTGCCGATGACGGAGCCGCTCAGCCCGGCCAGCGCCTGGCCGTCGCGCGTGATGAACGAGAGCAGCAGCGCCGGCGTGCGGCCCTCGGACTGGTGCCACTGCAGGTCCTGCTCGAACAGCGACCGGAACGACAGCACCCGCACCGTGTACACGATCTTCTCCGAGATGCGCCCGAAGCCCGCCCAGCTGACCACGTTGGCGAAGAACTCGATGATCGCCAGGATGAAGAACATCAGCCCGTAGAAGTTGCCGCTGCTGCTGATGCTGGACGCCCCCTTGCACGGGTTCAGGCTGCCCACCGTGTTACCGAAGATCACCGCTTCGCCCGAGAAGGCGCCGCCGACGATGGCCGAGCCGATCAGCGCCAGGAAAATGTACAGGAGGTGCGGTCGGAGGGCCGGCGCGTAGCCCTTGGCCAGCGCCCAGAGAGACTTCTTCGGGGTGTTGAGCTCCTCCGGATCGACCTCTTCGTTGGCATCGGGGGTGTTGGTGTTGCTGGCGTCCGAGGCCGGGCCTTCGTGCACCACCGGGGTCTTTGCCGTGGGTTCGTCGGTGTTGGCCAGGCTGCCCTTCTCGTTCTCGATCTCCACGTCCGTCAACGAGGGCTGGTCCGATCGGCTGGCGTTGTCGGCCGCGGGGGCATCGTCCTTGTCCGCGGCGGAAGACATGCCCTGCAGCTTGACGAGGTCGGCGTACGCCCCACCCCGGGCCATCAGGGTGGCGTGATCGCCCTGCTCGACGATTGTGCCCTTGTGCATGACGACGATGTTGTCGGCGCCGGTGATGGTCGACAGGCGATGGGCGATGGTGATCATGGTGCGGCCGCTGGCGATGTTGTTGATGGCGCGCTGGATACGCTGCTCACTGCGCGAGTCCAGCGACGCGGTGGCCTCGTCGAGAATCAGCACGGCAGGGTCCTTGATCAGGGCACGCGCCAACGAGACACGCTGCTTCTGCCCACCACTGATCAGTCGACCGCTCGAACCCACCATCGTCCCGTATCCATACTGCAGGGCGCTGATGAAGGTGTCGGCATCGGCCAGCATGGCGGCGTGCTTAACCATTTGCACCACCTCCAGAATCTCGGCGCCACGGCTCTGCGCCGCCGCCATCAGATCCTTGCCCTCGCGCACCTCCGCAGCGAGTTCCTCCAGCTGGGTGGTGAGGAGCGTTTCCTTGAAGCGGTGGTGCTCCGGGTTACTCGAGTTCATCAGGCCGTGGGCAATGTTCTCCAGCAGCGAGCGATCGAGCAGCGAGGGCTCCTGCTGCACCAGACTGAGGTAGCTGCGCAGATCCCGGGTGTTGATCTCGCGCAGGTCGTGTCCGTCGAACAGAATCTGGCCCTCGACGGGGTCGTACAGCCGCGTCACCAGGCCGGCGATGGTCGACTTGCCGCTGCCGGACAGGCCGACCAGCGCGGTGTGCTTCTTGGCGGGAATGCTGAGGCTGACCTTGTCCAGCACGGTGATCTCCGGCCGCGAGGGGTAGACAAAGGTCACGTCCTTGAGCTCGAAGCCGCCCTCGGCCTGGCCGTCAGTCAGTCGCAAGCCCTCGGTGGTGGTAGCGTCGATCTGCGGCTGGCGGTCCATGTCCTCGCGCAGCTTCTCGTAGGAAGCAACGCCCGCGATGAACAGATGGAGGAAGGGCGCCGTCTGACTGAGCAGGAGGGTGGCCTCGACCAGGATGAAGATGACGGTGAAGACGGCGCCGACGCTGATGCCACTGGTGCCGTCGCGGACATTGGCGGCGACTTGCTTCGCGCCCTGCCAGAAGGCCAGACCGTTGGCCGAGTAGGCGATGAAGTATAAGAAACCGGCCTGCACACCGACCGCGGTCGCCTTCTTCAGCCCCTCGGTCTCGGCGGACTTGAGCGCGGAGGCGAACTTCTTCTCAAGCCGCACGTTGGCGCCAAAGGCCTGGACGACGACCAGATTGTTGAGGGCCTCGGAGGCAATGGAGGCGGCGGTGGCGGCGTAGTCGGACATGGAGCCGGAGTATTTCTCGATGTAGTGGCTGCCGATGAAGGACATGATAAAATAGGCGGGGATCAGAGACAGGAGCTCGGCGGCCAGCTTCCAGTCCTTGATGAAGGCGACGATGTAGGCGGTCACGAAGAAGGAGATACTGGACAGCACGATGCCGACTTTCTCACTGGTGCCCGAGCGGATGGTCTGGATGTCACTGCTGAGGCGAGAGGCCACCTCGCCCGGGGGCAGCTTGTCGAAGTAGGAGGGCTCCTGGCGGATGAGGTTGCGGAGGTATTTCTCGCGAAGACGCTGGGACAGGCGAGCCCCGGAGAGGGTCCAGCAGGTCAGGTGGACGTAGATCAGGACGAATTGCGCGATGCCCAGGTAGACGATCAGGAGAATCTCGTGGTTGATGCTGCCTTGGTCGGAGCTGTCGCTTTCACCGTTGGATTCCGCGCAGGAGATGGAGTTGAAGTTGTCGAGCAGTTCACCGAAAATGATACCGATAATGGGAAAGGGGACGCCAGCGCCAATGGCGGCGACGATGCCGGTGAACAGTGTAGCGACTTCATATTTGGTGGGATTGCCGGCCAAAAGCAGACGGGGAAAACCCGCCAGCTTCTTGAGGAACATCTTGACAGATAGGAGGAGGAGGAGGTTGTGTCGGTGAATGGGAGGTTGGAGTGCGGGGAAAGGTGAGGCGCAATTCACAGGTGGCCAGCCATGCAGGTGCAGGTGCAGGTGCTGCTACGCCCTTAGGAATTGCCTGCACTCGCAAAGGGAAATCGCATGCGCACTTTTGGTGGAGGGACAGAAGAAGAAGAGGAGGAGAGGGAAGGGGAGGGGAGGAGAGGAGAGAAGGAGAGGGGAAAGAAGATGAAGAGAAATGGAGTCAGTGAAGGAGCAGCAGCCGCTACTGAAGAATGGAAGATTGACAGGGGACCAAGTCACTGGTTTTACGTAAGGTGAGGAACTTCGGAGCTGCTTGGCCGCTTGGCTAGAAGGGTAAAGAATGGGCACCGAAGAGAAAAAAGAGGAGTCCAAGAGGAGTCCAAGATAATCAATCAGTCCCCACTTGGAGGTATGGCCGTATGGTTCGAGTATGTTAGGGTATGTAACACAGAGTATGAAGGTATGTATGGTATGTATGGAGGGTAAGAGTGGTATCCACTGGTATCAACCGGTATCAAGTGGTACCGTGCAGCGGGCCCCGAAAATTCTTCCTCCCGCTCCATATCAATCAGCCAATTCATTGGTGAGCTACCCCAGCACGTCCCACTGCACTAGACTCTCCTAGCATTAGCACCAGAAGATAGGCAGGATCAGATAATTTCCCGGCCCAGCCATGGATCCTGGATCCCCTCACCAGAAGTAGTCAGTCTTTGGATGGCCACCGACGTGACCGGTGGACGGGTTGGTTCGTTGCTCGGAACCAGATTCGGGAAATCTAATCTGATCATCTCTCCCTGCAGTCACTCTCGCTCACAACACTCTCTCCAAATGGGAGGAAGAGTGGATGATGGGATTGAGCCAAAGTGGAGTTCGAGGCAAGTGAGACAGTCCAGTCTTCCCTCCCTTTGCCGGACCTTCCTTGTCAACCACGCGGCAAAGAAAAAAAAAAGGCAATCTAAAAGTAAGGCCACTCGGAAGGAAGAGGAGGAGGTGGCTTGAGTCAGTCAGTCTCCGGTCGGAGGTCGGAGCATTCACACTTAGCTCTTAGATTACTTGCATCGCTGCAGGCTACGGCGCGTATGGCGAATTCGCCTGATCATCATGTGCTTGGTCTCATTTAGCGTACTATTATGTACGGAGTAGCATTAGAAAAAGCAGGAATTGACAAAAATGAATCATGCGGCAGTGCGACTTTCATGCCTCAGGCTGCAGTAGCTCGTCACACGTGACCGTGCTTGGCACCGATATCGCATCGCCCACGAACAACAGAGAGAAGACAAGAAAACAAGAGTAAACCAACCCGGCCCTGAGATACAGAAGACAACAAAAAGTTCGAATTACTAGTCGCGCGAAGACCATGTGATAGTGGCCGAGCGGGCAATACCAGGGATGTGCGCGCATTCCAAGGGCTGATCTGATCAGTCACCTCTCATCGGCAACTCGCGCTGCAAAATGTAGGCATGTAGCACACTCTGGATCCCATCGTGTTTTTTTCTGACAGCCCACGCCAATGCAGTCCGCCCACGAGAATCCGTGACAGCCGGATCTGCCTCGAATTCTATCAACACCATGACTACCAGCAACCAACCTTGTTTCGCCGCGCACATGAGACAGGTATCCCCCTGGGGAGTGCGGGAAGACACCAGCGACGCATCGTGTTCCAGTAAACGACGAACGATCTGGTGCTTGCCCTTGATTGAGGCCAAGAAGATAGGCGTGTATCCATAGGCATCGACCACACTGACATCGACGTCGGGCCGGTGGAGTAACAGCTCGACCACCCCCAGACATCCCTCCTCCGCGGCATATGACACAGCAGATCGCTCATACATGTCTAGGTCATTCACTCTCACGTCGGGCCGACTGAGAAACCTTGCGACAATATCTACCTCACCAGATTGGGCCGCCAGGGAGAGTGAGGATTGACCTTTGGAATCCGAAGCGTTGGCATCGACACGGCTGTCTCCCAAGAGAGCGTCAACCATCGGCATCTCGCAGTATGAGACAGCAGTGTAGAGAGTGGTCACATGGTCGAAATCCTGGATGTTAGGAACCAGAATGTTAGGGTCCAAGTCTTCTCGCTGCAAGAGAAGCTGCACAAAGTCTACTTCTCCAACTTTGACAGCTTCTGATAAAGGAGTTCCGGCTTCGCGATCAGTTGGTACAGGTCCACCGTTCGGATCCACATCCTCGCGCTGCAGGAGCAGGCGTACAACTCTCGAGCATCGGCAACTTGTCGCCCACCAAAGCATAGAGAGACCCGTGTTTCGAAGCTTTTCGGAGGTGAAATTGCGTTTCCGCTGTCCAAGTGCATCAAGGATAAGCTGCACAATCTCGACATCGTCCTTCAGGAGTGCTTTCCACAAGGGATCAACCAAATCACCATAGGTTACTTGCTCCTGCAATACAGTGAGAAACAGTTGGACCACCGGCAAAAGTCCTTCTCCAGCAGCTGCACCGAGGGGTGTCACGTTGTCCTCGTTCCCAATACGCCAATCGATCTGAGGGTGCCGCAAAAAGATTTCCGCGAGAGTGAGATTTCCCGACTGGCAGGCCCAGAACAACGGAGTGCCGTCGTTGCATCTCACGTTGACATCAACTGTTGGATACGTCAAAAGAAACTTCACGGTCTGCTCATCTCTCCACATAGCAGCCGCGGCCAGTGGGTTGCTCGCAAATGCAACAATGTTTGCGTTGGCTCCTCTGTCCAAGAGCAACTGAGCAATGTCCAATCGACCAAGCTCGAAAGCCGCGAAAAGTGGTGTCCCCACAGCCTCATTGTAAGTGTTCACATTGCAACCGCGGCTGATCAACGCGCGTACCACCTCGAGATGTCCGGTGCACACGGCGATGATGAGCTCCTGTCCAGTCAGATGGCGAAACACGAGGCTTGAAAGGTTGGGACTCAAAAACTGCTGGCATGTTTTGATGCGGCACTGGAACGACATGACACAGTGGCTGAGATTTTTGACTGTTTCGATAGCAATGTCCTCGAGATCATCTGTATTTGCCGTAGGTGTCAAAGCATGTGCCGTTAACTCATCTATGATCGGCACGAGGAGAGAGCAGGAGTCAGGCTTCGCCACGGAGATTTCGCACAAGATCTTCTGTGTAAAGAGTCCTTCAAGCCCCTCGCGTTTCGTCATCGCCCAGAATTGTTCCAAAGAGGCCCAATCCATTCGGAGCAGGGCGAAACGCAAGATGAGGGTATAGAATCTCTCTATTCATCGGTAGGTATTAGAATCTTGGGTAGAAGTACGTATGGGGACGACCACTTGCTAGACACGAGGCGGAGTTCGAGGCATCGCCGGTGCTCTTTGGCCCGGTTCCAATCCTGAGGCACAATGTCGCTCAGAATGTCCTCCAGGATCTCAATGGGAAGACAAAACAAATCCATTCTAGCCCTGATAAATCCTTGGATCACGGCTGAAATGGATGTTGTTGGGTGTTGTTGAGGAAAAGACCTGTGAAGTGCGCAGAATGTTGGTGATGGAGATCGGTGATGGATAGTGGGAAGAAGAAAGATGACAGCAGGCAAAGGGAGTCAACAGGCAGAGGCTTTTCAGTGTGAGAGTGCGCTTTTCCAAGTGATAGAGGGGGGGTATATGGTGAGCAAGATCTCCCGATCTTGGATGTACCGCGGATCTAATGGGATATGAAATTCACTGGCAAATGTCAAAGGCGAGACACAGTACATGACTTTGTGCCTCTCGCAAGCCGTGATTGATCCTACATCCCATTTTGCTTTTCTCCTTTCAGTAAGCATCACATCTGCCTTCGTTGTCGTGGTCAACGTTTCCTATATCCACACCAACTGTTCGTACACATACTCCGACTTGGCTCAATCCCAGGCCAAATGAGCGCCAGTCTTGGCATGGCCAACTAGTATGCGGGGTAAGCCACACTAACTCAATTTCTCTTCAGCTCAGGCCATTTCCCACGGTTGGTCTGCAGATGGCCTGCATCGCATCCCTTCCAGATGGATCCCCTGTCGATATCATCCGGAGTGGCAGGGCTGATTGGTTTAGCTCTGCAGGTAGCCCCAGTCCTCCAATCTTACGTCTCGAACTTCAGGTCAGCACGCGAGGATGTCCAAGCTTATCTCGACGAAGTGAGGGCCCTGTCCCAGGTCTTGGATCGGATGTACACATTCCTCGATTCGTCCTGCATGACAAGCGACAAATTTCAGACGACTGAAGCTGTGCTTCTGCAAACAATCAAATCATGCGAAAAGTCTCTGCTAGAGCTGATTCGCATGCTCCGAAAGCCGGTCGGTTTGACAAAGAAACTGCTATGGCACCTCGAGAAGGAAAAGATTGAAAGCATTATTGCGCGGGTCCGGCAATGCAACCAGCTGTTCAATTTCTCGTTGACCGTCGAAGGGTGGTGAGCAACCCACTTCCTGATACTTTCACTGTCACCTGCTGACCATCAAAGGGCTCTTCTCTCGCAGACGCCCGCAGAGGTGACCACGATCCTGCAGCTTCAAATGCAGATGTCGGAGAAGATGCACAAAATGGTTGAAGCAGCGTCGTTATCAGTAGAATCAGCCAAGCTGTACCAGGACAAGACAAAGGAATTGGTGTCGTTGTTGGAGAATGTGTCTATATTCGCGAAAGCGGTCGGGAAACTGTCGGAGATCCAAGAGCGTGTGGAGGAAATCAGTCGCGGCATAACAGGTGAGCATAGATCTTTATCAGGTTGCTTCCTCCAGTATCTGTCGCCCCTACCACGCCTCCTGATGCCCTTCCCCATGGTGAAACAATGGTCGGTCGATTGTGGACCACGCCATAGGCAGAGGCATGCCTAGCCCATTCGAGTTGAATGATGGTTATTCCAAAGATGACCAAGGTATCTAGCTTCGGTCCCCATCGGGGGAGTTCTCGATCTTGGTCTGCTTCTAAGAAACAGCTAAAAGGGAAAGAAATGACACGGATGATTGCAGCAAATCTCAGTGTGCCGTCGCTTCAGCCTACTCGCAAGGCTACCCAGGGCTATATCATTGACGGCGCTAATGTAGGAGGGGCGACAGCTCGAGAACGTTAGCTTCCAGTCTGATTGATCGATCTAACTCCGAGCAAGACGAGCGGCAGATCGAGATCCTCGAATGGCTTGCGCGCGACCAAGCACCAGGACGCCACCATGAGATCCAAGGACTTCGAACGCCCGGAACGGGCAAATGGATCTTCGCTCAATGGCAATTCAGACAATGGCTCGAAACCGATACCTCAACGAATATTCTGTGGTGCATTGGCGGACCAGGGTCTGGAAAGTCGACGTTGATGTAATCACAACAAGTATTTCGTAGGATGTACTGGCTCGCTAATATCTCACAGGTCGTTTGTCATTGATGAGATCAAACGGTCACACACCGGTCCCGATGCTGGTGTTGCGTATTATTATTGCGACTATCGAATGCGCACTTCGCAGCCAATGGTGCTCGTACTCGGGTGCATGATCAAGACTTTTGCCGAGCATCTGGACAGTCTTCCACAATCCCTCAATGCACTATACGAAAAATGCCGGCGAGAGAATCGGCAGCCCGTTGTCGCAGAGCTTGAGGTCATCATAAATGATATTTGCGGTCTGTTCGAATCCCCCTTTGTTCTCATTGATGCATTGGACGAGTTTAGCCCCGCAGATATGACGCAAACGAGACATCTGGTCCGCCTCCTGGACAAGCTTGCTCGCAATGGCGCACGCGTCTTCGTGACAAGTCGATCAAGACCTGAACCCCTGTCCGCAGAGAACAATGTTGTACTAGAATATACGGCGGATAGCGAAGACGTCCGATCGCATGTTTTGTATGTTCTTAGGTCCGACGACATGATGGTGGACCTCTTAGATCACCAGCTCGAAGAAGAGATATGCAACACGATTGTCATTCAAGCAGGTGGAATGTAGGGGCAGAACGCTACATCTTCCGGTCGCAGCTGCTAACAACCGCACAGGTTTCTGTTGGCAGTCCTTCATCTTCAGAACATTCGTGACCAGGTTAGTCGAGCTGGTATTCGCAAAAGCCTCAAGACACTCAGTAGTGACCTGGGTGGCGCCTATGACAAATCCTTCGACGCTTTGTCCCACCAGTCCGCGGCACGAAAAGAGCTTGCGCTCCGTGCCTTGCGCTGGGTGGCTTGCGCCTACCGCCCACTCAGTGCACTGGAGTTGCGACACGCTTTGGCGACCGACGATGAAATTTGGGATTGGGACAAGGTATCCCCTCTCAGGCTCATAATCAGTAGCTGCTGCGGATTACTGTCGGTGGACGGAATGGAGGATCACGCACAAGTACGGTTGGTGCATCATACCTTGCAGCAGTATCTTCAGAGTACCCAGCCGGACTGGTATGCCAGAGCCCATACAGTCATCACTCAGACGTGCCTACAATACCTTTTGCTGGGGGAACTGAAGACACCTGAAAGCCAAGGCGAGGTCAAGTCCAAAGGCATTTCGAAGAGGGCCTTCAATGTTATTTCACATCCGCATATGCTTGCTCCAAGGAAACCGGAGAAGAATAACTCGGATTCGAGTGCAGACGAGATATTCATTCTCGTTGGATATGCGAAGGACTGCTGGGGCTTGCATGCTGCATTGGCGCCTTTGAAAGAGTATGTGAGTTTGGCCATGCGTCTTTTCAACGACCAGCCACGGCTAGAGTTCCTGTTCGCCGAGAACGAACGCATCCATGGACTGCATATAGCCTCTGGTTTTGGGCTTACGGAGCTTGTGCATTATATGGCAGAATGTGGTCATGATGTTGAGTGTTTCGACACTGGGTCTCAGAGCCCTCTTCATCATGCCTGTGCGCACAATCATCCGAACACAGCCCTCGAGTTGATCAAGCTCGGTGCCAATGTCTCTCACGTAACACCTAAGCGTGACACCGCGCTGTTTCTGGCCGTTGGAACTGGGAACCTGGAGTTAGTCAGAGTTCTCCTGGACAACGGTGCACCGCCTGGTCAGATCGCAAGGGATGGTTGGATTGCTTTGCACAAAGCCGCGGATATGGGATTCTTCGAGATTGTGGTGTTGTTGGTCCTCCGAGGAAGTTCGGTCTCGAGCAAATCCGCACGCAGATTGACTGCCTTACATCGTGCAGCAGGAAGAGGTCATATAGAAATCATCGAGTTCCTGATAAAAGAAAAAGCCCCTTTGGAGGCAGTCACGCATGACTTGTGGACACCGCTCCATGGCGCATCATCCAGCGGACAATCTGAGGCAGTGGAGTTGCTGTTGCAGCACGGAGCGAATCTTTATCATCAAAGCCTCGATGGGAAGACCGCACTGCACCGGGCTTGCCAAGGTGGACACGTCGAAACTGCCCGGGCTCTCTTACAGCGCGGTGCTGATGTCATGATCGGTGACTCCAAGGGCAACCTTCCCTTGCATATTGCAGCGCGGGAAGGGCACACAGCGATGGTGAGCTGCCTGCTGGAACATTCAACACAGCAACTGCTGCATTTGAACAAGGCTAAACGTACACCGTTGCTGGAGTCGCAATGGAGTGGCTCGCGAAGGACGGAAGAGCTTCTGATGCAGCGAACTCACGCCATTTCCGGCTCAAGTGTCTCTGATGACGCTGACTTGTCAGCGACCATACACCAAGACGATCCCGACGCAGTCAACCAACTTATCAAAAGTCGAGGGCTTGAAATCGACTCGCGAGACTCCATCGGTCGAACGCTTCTTCAGCAAGCCCTTCACGCCGAGTCCTCCAAGGTCGCACAAGCTCTTCTGGAAGCAGGAGCAGATATTTACGCCCGATCGCACATCGACGAATGGCAGCCGATTCACTTCAGCGCTTTGGCAGGGAACGCCGAATGCGTTGAGTTGTGTCTAAAGTACGGAGCTCAAGTCAACGCCCGGACACAAAGTGGCCAAACACCGCTTCATCATGCTTGTAGGAAAGGGGACGAGGACACGGTGCGGTTACTTATCAAGAACGGATGTGAGATCCGGGCCACAGACAGCAGGTACTGGCAACCGCTTCACACGACCGCGGATGCCGGCCACGAGCACATCGTCCGGATCTTGTTGGAGCATGGTGCCCTCAGTCGGTACAATGACTTGCAGTGGACAACCTTCCAGGACTTTGCGGCCCTGCGTGGACATCACAATCTGGTGGAGTTGTTTCGAGAACTGAGGTATTCGCGGAGGCCTTACAGTAAGTAGGCGGAGGGGTCGATAGAGAGGAGATCACCTCTGCAGGATGGCTGGTAAACGTGAGGCTGGATCAATGGTAAAAGATAGTTCACATATACTCAAGCAGTCAGCAAAGATAGATTGAATGGTCGGTGGCTTGTCTGAGATTGAAGCTTCTACACTTTGACAACGTGCTGAACTCTACAGCATATCTCAGTGCAGTCAGATCATAGCAAGGAAGATAGAAAAGAATGTTGTGTTGATGAGATCATGGATATAAGTTAACCCACCTGAGCGGATGGACGCCGCCTTCCTATTCTGGCTCACGCGCCTCTTTATCCGAGGGGGCAGAACCAGTGATCACGTGCACATCATACCAATACTCCAGGCCAGAAGTCCAGGCTTACAGTCATGGAATTCACTTGGAAAATATGATCACAGAATAGAAGAGCATCTCACAAAGCTGGTATCTGACCGAATCCCAGCGACTGGACCGGGTAGCTTGAGATTGAGGCTTGATGCGACAAGATTCAAACGGGGGATGCCCCAGGGATATATCTACAATAGATACCCGACTTCCGGCGACACAAATCTACACAAGCTTAAGGTTACAGAGCTGAGAGAGAATTTGTCAAGATATCAGTTGAATCGATAACATGAGCGGATAGCAAGAGAACAATCTAGTAAAATATGTTTCCGTAAATACACCCAGGTTGACAGCGAACAAATGAAAAGCCATGGTCGACGCTCAACTTGTACCAAGATTCTTATGAACAGAAACCCCATCCATCGTAGATCGTAATCATAGATGCGGACGACGATTGCGAGTGGGTAGGCTGCAAGAGAACACCGGCAATCAACGACTCAGTGCACGCAGCTTCTTCTTCAACTCAATCATCTCGTCCAGACGAATAAGCTGTGCCGGGTCGTACATCACAGCGAAACGCGTGGAATTCTTGCCGCGGATCTTCATCGTAGTGGCGATGGTAGTCGCAATGTGAATCACCTCGCGCATCGAGACAACGAGACAAGGCCTCTCGCAGTCTCCCCAGGCCAGCTGCGGTTCGGTCTCGTCAGTGTCCTTGGCCCTCGCCTTGCCCTTCCCCTGGTACTTGATGAACGGGATCGTGAGGTCGAAGATCAGAAATGACATGGGTGGGGCCTTCAGCAGCTCCTGTCTCCAGGCTCTGCCCAAGCAATAAATATCCAGACACATCTGGCCGGGCTCGCTATGATCCGCGCAGAAGTCGGTTTTGTGATTGGTGCAGTCAGCGAGAGTCTCACTGTTCGCAAGGGGCTTGAGCAGAGCGAGCTTGACCGGGTGATTTCCCCAGAATTGAGGTGTGGATGGTCCAGCGCCCAGTTGTGAGAGACCCGCTGTGATGAGACTCTCCTGAATGCACCCTGGGTGATCGATCTCAATCATGTCGCCTTGGGTCTGGATCAACAGGACGCTGATCTCTGTGTTGACAGCCGCGCGTTCCTCTGAAACGTTGAACGTGCGGTGTGCACGGCCTTGCTTGTGCTTGTTTGATTTGCGTTTCGCTTTCTCGCTTGCCTCCTTCTTCTTCCTCTCGTTGTACTGCTTTAGCTCCTCGTCTGTAGCACCTTCGGGCCACTGTGGGAATCTGAGGATAGGTCGGGCTTGGGGTGCCTTCCAGGGAAGCTCTTCAATATCTGAGTCCTCGTCTGGGTTGGTCGGGTTGACCCCAGGGTCTGATTGCTGTCCAGCTTCGACTCGTATCTCAGGGATCGCCCCAGCTTGTGCTTCATGCTTTGGTTGGTGCCTTGTTTTGTCCTCCACCTCTCTCAGTCCATCGTCAGCGCCGAGGTCCATGTAATCATCGTCAACATCTGTTAGGAGAACGGCAGGAGTATTTGAGACGGACTCAGTGTCGTGCTTTGCTTCGTGGACCACTCTGTTTTGAGCTCCGTGGTCGACGCGACCTTCGTCTTTGGGTTTAGGTGGCCTGCTGGCTTTACGGCTTTTAGCCATGAGTGAGGTTGTTGATAGATGTTGGTGGAAGGGGAATGGAATCTGAGGATGGGTTGCGGTGGTGGTTGGTCGAAAGAGTGTTATGGGAAGAAAGATTAGGGAGAGTAAGGAAGGGATAAAGAAAAGGGGAGAAGACGATGACAGAGTTGCTTGACTGCAGGACAGTTTGAGTCGGAGTGAATGGAGTGCTTTGTGAAGGAAGAGAGCCGTAAGTCTACTTGCAACGACCAAAGAAGTCCCTGTCACATGATCCCATCAACATATCCTTTGGATCCCCAGTGAATGTTTCGCTTCCCACAAAACACCAAGCAACTGCCATACACCCTCTTGTTGTGTTCCTCAGGTTCCATCCATGCCCGTGTAGGCTTCATGTCTCTGCCACGGCAAACCAGACATCAAGATAGCTCAACACCCGGTTCTTGCTGGGTCTCCTTTGTCATCTACCTCATTACTTACGACAAGAGGCTGTTGCTTTTCATCGGAGGATGCGAATGTGAAATTCTCAGACTGCAGCGCAGGCTGACAAGCATGCAGCAACTTGAGCCAGTACTGCGAAGACCTGATTCCATAGGCCCACGACCCTTGGAGGGAATAAACGATCGCGTCCACAATTTGTGAGATTGCCTTGTCCTGCCTGAACCGGCTCTTTACCACTATCGCAGCGTGAACTAGACGGTATGGTATCAGCTACCCTTCCTTTCCATAATTCCTGAGTGTAACTGACCAACCAAATCATCTAGATGGTGGATGTAGTCCCAGCACCGATCGACGGCCTCCTGCAGACTCTCGCCCGTGCCCCGCATAAGCCACGCCACACAGTTCATGCTTTCGGTGTCTACTCGACAGTCGTTCATGAGTATATGCTTGGGAAGGGAGTATAGATCATGGACGACGCCAATCTGAAGACAAGCCTCGTCCATGAGGAGTTGCACGGTCGGATCATCCCAGACGCTATCGGGGATGTGAAGATCTAGCGCAAACTCCATCCAGTGGAACAACATGAACATGCCCGTGCTATCAACGCGAGATCGCTTCCATTGCTCCAGGTCGTCTGAACAGGCCTTGCTTGGGCTGTGCTTTCTTGAGTGCATGGCCGTGATGGCTCTGTCCCTGTTTAGTACCGCGGGGCTATAGCCAAGAGAAGGGCTCACCTTTCTAGGTAGTCTGCCGCACGGAGGAATTGTTCCCTCCTCGGGCTGAGACGGAACATTTCAGCGAAGATTCCCCGCATATATTGCACATATTGTGGTTGACTATTCTTGTCACTGGCTAGCGGGCCTTCAGTAGCAAGTAGTCTCAAGTCACGCGGTAGGCTGTCAAGTCCTCGTCCCAAGTGCAATGCCTCTTCCTGGCTGAACCAAGGATATTCGAAGAGGTTTGCGAAGAGCAGCAAACAAGTCAGCCATTTGCAAAGCATGACCAGTCGGTCATCGCTGGTGGAATGCGGAACCATGAAGGCTACGAGCGCGGGCAAGCGCATCGCTCGGATGCGTGATGCTTTGCTCTCGTCTACGCTTGGGAGAACAGCGAGGACCTCGTCCATGATCTGGTCACACATCAACCTGGTGAAGGACGGGTGAGGGCCTCGAAGATGGGCTGTGGATGGAAAGTAAGCAGGCCATCGCAAACTTTGATCTTTCGCAGCCATAATGTCAGTATGCAGAAATTGCGACGATGTTGAAGCGGTTACCAGAGATTGAGGCTGACTTTATAGAACATAGCAACTAGGTAAAGCTCGCGGTTCAGACTCTTTAACGACTTTTTCCAACCTGAACGTCGCAACAAACATACCAATGCAAGTCGCTTGTTTTATACAGTCTATCCTCGACCAGTGGTAGCATTGTATGGCCGCGTTCGTGCAACTGACAAGGCATGACAAGAGCACTGGCCAACAATTCCAAGATTGGAAAAAGCCTATTACATGGGATAGAGTTTCTGGCCGGCCCCTTGCCGATACACTATACATGGATGAGGCGGCCACCGAACCAGGCCCAGGGCCTTCCCCGAACCACTCCCCGACAGCTTAAATCCCGCAATGACATCTTCTTGCAGCAAAACCTGGCGATCTGGGAGTCATGACTCCGGTCATTCGGTGCGTGAGGTTCTGGCTGTTTTGTTGCACGGCTGCTTTTCCTTGGAATGATCTTGGCAGTGGTTTCCTACACGATCTCTTACCCATTACAGGAACTTGTTGTCCCTGTCGACAAGTTATGGTGAGCATCCGGGTCAGCGGCCTTGACTATAGTTGGCGACCGTCCAATCGGAGTCTCTCCCACCTGTATGCTGGTGTAGCGAACCACGACCTGCACTGCAAGGAACTCTATCGTCAAGTCGACCCGACACGTCAACAAACATCCGGCATCATCTCAGCCCGTGTCATCTGCTCCAGTGCAATAATTCCAAGGTCACTGTCATCAGTCTTCGAGGACCCTGAGGACCTTCAACAAACTTGACATTACTCATTACCAAGGGCCCAATTTTGCTCCACCAGCCGCTTTTCTTATACTATCGGTCTCATGCACCTCCGGATTCCTCTTTCATCGTGTGAGATCCTTCCTTGATGCCCTGTCTCAACTCACATCTCATTCTCTATATCTTGCTAGAAACCCAGGACATTGGTCCTCACCACTGCCGATCGACAATGCCATAAATCGAGCGCACAACAGCACCCTCGTGATAATCCCCACTGACCTCCCGAAGCACTTTCCACCGATTCAAAACCATCCACGTTCTACAATGAAAACCCAACATCCTACGCGCAAGCGACCGGAGTACAGCGGCCCGGGCGCGACAATTAGCCGACGCTGATTTACCCGACCCTCGAGTCGGAGCATGTCCGGCGACACCCCGCATAAATATGACGACACATCCAGCACCCCTCCGACCGCAACAATTACCCCTACCTCACGCACGCGCAAAATGTCCATGACCGTGACAGACAGCAACCAACCCCGGGAGGGCTTTCCGCGCCCATTCCCGGGAACCCCCAACAACGTGCTCGAGCAGTTCCAGATGGCGGGGAAGGTGGTCGTTGTGACGGGCGCCGCCGATGGGATCGGGTATGCGGTGGCGGAAGCGATGGCCGAGGCGAGGGGACATGTCGCGTTGTGGTATAATTCGTGAGTTTGCCTTCTGAGGGTGTGGGTATGCTTCTCATCTGTGATAGCAACAATGCAGCGGTGGAAAAAGCAGAGGTCCTGGCGCGAGACCACGGGGTCAAGGCGGTCGCATACAAAGTCGATGGTCGGTATCGTTGGATGTATCGAGAAGCAAGACTGACCGGTAGCAGTGTCTGACCCGGAGAGAATCCAGGCCGCGTTGACGGATGTGATTCGTGACTTTGGGAAAATCGACGTCTTCGTCGCCAATGCGGGTATGACTTCGAGACCAAAAAAGAGGCAAACCGCTAACAATCTTCAGGAATGGCAATCTCCAAGCCTATTCTCGAGCAGACACTGGACGAGTACAGGAAGCAGATGTCCGTGAACGGTATGTCATGGCTTCCAAGGGCACTGACAGTCAGAACTGACTCTCGCAGTGGACGGAGTGGTCTACTGCTCCAAATTTGTCGGTGACATCTTCAAGCACCAAGGGTTCGGCAACCTGATTATCACCTCAAGTATGAGCGCGCATATCGTCAATGTGCCGGTGGACCAGCCGGTGTACAACGCGACCAAAGCGTTTGTCACGCACTTTGGCAAGTCGCTGGCCCGCGAGTGGCGGGACTTCGCGCGGGTCAACATCGTGTCGCCGGGCTTCTTCGACACGAAGATGGGCGCTGGGGAGGACTGCCTACAGGAGGCGTACCGGATGGCGGTGCTGGGCCGACAGGGGAACGTGAAGGAGATCAAGGGGTTGTACCTGTATCTGGCGAGCGATGCGTCGACGTATATGACGGGGAGTGATTTGCTGATCGACGGGGGGTATGTTCTGCCTTAGGCGGCTGTCTGGACTGGCTATGCTGCTTTAAGCCTGGAAGTTCTTGATCGTTCAGTTTGCGATCATCGTGATGTGCATCTAGCCGCAATGTATAATGCGCGTTGATAAGCAATAGATGAGGATAGGTAAAGCCCAGTATTGATCAAGGTGGGGTGTTGATGAGAAGCTTGGCTATTTTAGCGCGCGCACAGACAGCAGACCGATCCTAGCATCAGAGAGAATCTGTGAGGCTAAACGCGCATTCGGCGAGTTTACCCTTCCTTCGGTGACATCCGGCGAGTTTGGGGTTCAATCGGGATCAGAACACACCTGTTCACAAGAAAAGGGAGTATACATCCACAGACTAAAACAGCCCAGCAGCCCCAGCTAACTTAATGTTTACTTGAGCAGGGACTTTCGTCATACTTCTGCTGCAGCAGCTTAGCGCCGAGCGGAGTTCGGCATTTGGCATTGCACTCCCCGACCAAGACATCCCATCTTCTCCTCCCCCTCAAACAATCCAACGCCACTCCATCCACCATCAAACTCCCACCCACCTCCAAAAATGACTGCCTCCACCATGCGCGCATGGGTATACACCCAGTCAGGCCTACCCTCACAAACCCTGAGACCAACGACCACCTTCCCCGCGCCAACGCCCTCCTCCCTCGGTCCCACCGACCTCCTCATCGAAGTCGACTACGTCTCGCTGAACGCGATCTGCACGACGATGATACGCGCCCTCCCCCCGCAGCCCTTCTCCCTCGGGCTCCCCTTCCGACGCCGCATCGCCGTCCCCGAATTCGAGTTCAGCGGACGCATCCTCGCCACAGGGACGCAGGTGCCCGTCACCCGACCCGAACTGACCCCCTCCACCCGAGTCGCAGGCTGCGTCTCCGAGCAAGAAGTCTTCGGAACAGGGAAAGGCGCGCTCGCCGAGCGGTTGGTCGCGCCAGCTAGCCAGGTCATCGCGCTGACCAGTAGCCCCCTGCCCCTTCACCCCTCACCCTCCGCCCAGTCACAATCCCAACCCGCAACCCCACCTGCACCTGCACCGCAACCAGAAGAACCACTATCACCATTAGAAGCATCCGGCCTAACGGCCTGCGGCAGCACCGCCATACAAACCCTCTCCCTCACCGGACTAATAGCAGGGGACAAACTGCTCGTGAACGGGGGCAGCACGAGCGTGGGGATGCACACGATCCAGCTCGCACGACACATTCTCGGCGCCACCGGGACGATCGTCGCAACGTGCTCATCGCGCAACGCGGCGCTGGTGGGCTCGCTCGGCGCCGACGAGGTCATCGACTACGTCGCGCACGACCCGCTGCACGAGCATCTCCGCGCCCACCACTCCCCCCCCTCCTCGGCTGCCGCAAAAACCCGCCCCTTCGACGCGATCATCGACTGCGTCGGCGACGCCTCGCTCTACCGCCACTGCGCGGCGTACCTCGCCGAAGGCAAACCCTTCATCAATCTGGGACAGATGAACGCCGCGCCCGGGTTCTGGGGCCAGCTCGCGTGGGCGTGGGAGCAGGTGGCGCTGCGGTTTTGGCCGGTCGTGTTCGGGGGCGTGCCCCGCGGGTATCGGTTCTATAGCGGGCGGCCGCGGGCGGAGGATATGGGGCGGGTGCTGCGGTTGGTGGAGCGGGGGGTGGTGCGGGTGGTCGTGGATTCGGTGTGGGGGTGGGGGGAGGTTCCTAAGGTATGTTTATGTTTTCTTGCTCAGGGGGGATGGGTATGTGCTGACGTTGAGGTAGGCGTATGAGCGGATGGAGAGTAAGCGGGCCAGGGGGAAGGTTGTTGTGAGGGTGCGGGGTGAGGATGCGTGATACTCGCTGGTGGTTTCCTGAGGGGTTTCGGATGTTCGTTTGGATGCCGTTCCAGAGATTGGGTAGATTGAGTGATGGCGGATCTGTGGGCGGAGGAGGGATGTTTTCAGCTACGCAGCCAGTTGAACACGACTCTCATGTACACATTCTCGGAGGTAACGGGACAAACACTTATGTGTGTCATATTGCTGCACCCATGCCCCTGTAGTCCGTATAGAGCTGTAGCTTACAGTAGTGAGAGTACCACTAAGAATAGCATCATAACAATTCACCTTGACCCCTGTTCGTTGACACGAACCAAAATTTGATAGATACTATCCGCGAGGGGGGAACCCCCACACTCCTTGTCAAGCAGTTGCAATATACCGAGCAGACTCAAACCCAAACGAAAAGAAGTAGACAGGGTAAGATACAGGAGGATTCCCCAGACCCCTCATATTTCTCATGATCACAACCCATACAAATACACATTCGACCCGCTTCGGAAAGATAATGCTAATGCACACAACCCTAGATAGAGTATGCACCACCTCCCCCGGAATCATGTCTACCCAATCCTGTCAGCGGGACTGCTCACTGGGATAAGATACCTACTCGGTGGTCTGCCGTTAGCCCAGCTTTGCCGACCCAGTTGGCCACCTGCAACTTGGAAGGTGAGTGGAGGGTCCGGTGTGGTGGAGTTCTGGCCATCCCGGGAGCAATGCCGCCCGAGCCCTAAACTGATAGGCGAGTAGCGTCTGACTCCAGCTGGACTCGGGAAGCATTCCTGGATGTCTAATCGATCCAAATACCCCAGTATAGTACCATCCATTCCTTCTTTCTATGCATGTGACGGCGGCCCTGGGGTCTTAATATTCAAGGTACCAGCTCGCCGCCCACCCGGCTGTCTTAGCTAGTTCTCTGATAGCCTCATATAGAGGAATCAACAAGCCTTCTCCACCTCTCAGAGGCGTCATCAGCATGTGTTCCACACGACTGGAACCCGGTTGCGTGTACACTATACGCAATAGACACGATCATCCCAGATCGACGCCCGCGATTGCCAGTCTCCCCAAGCAATCCACGGATAAGCAACAGAGATGAAAGCGCCTCGCCCACTGAACCAGCCTGTTGATAACTATACATAGAGCGAATCAAGAGACACGACTATACACCTCCACCCCACCTAAGCCACCCCAACCCCACAATTCACCACCCCCGCAACACAGCCGCCACCCTCGGAAACAACCGCAGCGCATTCCCCGCATGGATCTCCACCATCTCCGAACCATTAAACCTGCCATTCACCTGAATCGTCGGCAACGTCGCCGCGATCTGATCACCGGGAACATACGGATCTGCAAGCACAAGCAATCAGCACGACCGTTCCCACCACACACACGGGAAGAAAAAAAGAAAGGGGCGGGACTCATACAATCCGTCCCGGTCAGGATCCTCCCCGTGCCCAGAAAACTCTTCAGCGCCGCCAGCTGCACGGCGGACGTCGCCGACGCCGTCTCGAAGTAATACCCGGCCAGCTGGGCGAGCGAGTCGGCGACGCTCCGCGCGCCCATGAACTCCATCGACGCGAGGCCGGCGATCCGCGCGGCGAGGTAGGGCATGGCGCCGCCGCCGTGCGCGAAGATCAGGGTCGCGCGCGGGAAGCGCGCGCGCTGGCCCGTCAGCAGCAGGTTCTCCATGGCGCGCACCGTGTCGAACGGGTATTCCGTGAGCGGGAGGGGGTGGCCCAGCGCGACGGCGGGGCAGGACGGCGCGGCCGGGTGCACGAACGCGGTGGCGTTGCGGGCGCTGAGGGCGGCGAAGATCGGGTCGAGACGGCGGTCGCCGAGATACATGGTGCCGTTGAAGTTGGTGTAGAGGCCGATGCCGGGGAAGTTGAGGGTGTCGAGGCAGAACTTGGCTGGTTAGTTGGGGGTGGGGAAAGGGGCGGGAGGGGGGAGGTGTGGAGGGTGTACTGTACCTCGAGCTCGGCGAGGGATTCGTTGATATGCGGCAACGGTAGGAGGCACAATGCCCCCAGTCGGGTGGGGTGCGTTTGCGTCCAGTTGTGCATTTGCAGGTTGATGCGTCGGGCGAGCTGGCTGGCGGCGGCGGCGTCATGGCGCAGGAAGGCAACGCCCGGGGCTGTGATGCTGACGGTCGAGAAGTTGATGCCTCGTGCGTCCATGGTCGAGAGGTGGGAGTCCAGGGTCCAGTCGGGGACGGGGAAGTCGTCTACATATAAGGTGCCATTCTTGAGGGGGTAGCCGGCGGCGATCAGGGCTTCCTTCCAGATGGGCGGGATGACGTGGGAGTGCACGTCGATGATATAATCGGCCCCAAGAGTGCTATGGCTGTGGGCGTGGGCGTGGATGAGGGTTGTGGTGGCGAGGCCCAGCACGATGGCTCGGAGCGAAGGCATGTTGAGCCGAGTCGACTTGAGAACGGAACGGAAGTGAAGAAAGGATTTTTTCGACGGGAGAACTGGGGGATCGCTTCATATAGCGACGCGTATGCGATAACTAGTCTCTCGCTAGCTAGTTAGTATTGTTCCGGTAGAAACCGGTGATGCGCCGGAGCCCTACGGAGGATAGTATGGTACTATACTTCCCACACGCTAAAATGACCGGGGAGCATCACTAAAACCGTCCGTTGCATTGCCGGCTCAGCTAGCTTGGACTAGGTTCAGGGCTACGGACTAGTGTGCGTTTAGAGCTATCTGGTAGCTGCATAATCAGCTCATGCCACGCCCAGACATGGATGAGATCCTGTCAGCACTAACCCGCGATCCGGTTGACACCGATGGAGGCCAAGGAATTGGCAATATCCAACCCTGGTCGTTCTTTGTTCGATCGCACACAACCTATTCCCCTATTAAAGTGCGGTGGTACTATAAGAGGTTTCCTTTTCCCAACCTACTAACCCGCAGAGACGATGAACATCCACACTCCCAAGAGATTTGCACCTATCGCCGTCTCCATGACTGAACGACCCAACGAGGTAACTACATGGCTCCGACCAAGCTTTCATTAGTGACCCCATATTAACAGAAGGTTAGGACGCCAACCGCGGACCCTCCCTGGTTATCATCAACGCCACCTTCACCGCCATGGCCACGCTCACCGTCATCCTCCGCATCATCGCCCGTGCCTTCATCCTCAAGAAACCCGGCTTGGACGATGCAATGATCGTCGCTGCGACCATTCTCGCCATTCTGAACGTGGTCGTCTCGGGACTAGGTACAGTACCAGACCTCTCTTCCCCTTCAACATGACCCCAGCCTCAGCTCACGACCCAGGCGTCACCCACGGCACCGGAAAACACACCTGGGCCCTCAACCCCAGCGACGCCGTGCCCGCAGCCAAAGTACGCCCCCGGCAGGCCCCCGCAGCATCTTCCCCAAGCAACCGATCATCAGACTAAACCCACAGCTCCGCTTCATCACGCACATAATCTACGTCCTGGCCAGCGGAAGCATCAAGATCTCCATCTCCCTACTCTACCTACGCCTCTTCCCGACGCTGCGCGGCCCCACCCTCGCCACCATTGGCTCAATCACCGCCATGACCACCGCGATCTTCCTCGCCACGATCTTCCAATGCTCCCCGCTCGACGCCGTGTACAACCCCCGAAAGTACGCGCACGCCGCGTGCCTCGACGCCGTGGCCTTCTGGTCCGCGACGGCGGCGCTGTACCTGCTCACCGACGTGTGGGTGCTGGTGCTCCCGGTTCCAACGATTCTAGGTATTCCTTGCCCCGGCCACTGCTCTCACCTGCCAGGTCGGTTCTGACTCGGTCATCAGGTCTCCAGGCCAGTCGCAGGAAGAGACTCGTCCTGACGGCGCTGCTTTCGCTCGGAGCATTGTGCGTGTCCCTCTCATCTCGTCTCACCTTACCTTACCTGACCATGACATGACGCTAAGAAGGGCAGTGCCTGTATCGCCAGCATCGCGCGGATGGTCTACATCGTCCGACTGTACCGGGGCGTCGACCAGAGCTGGCACAGCGTGGACGTCTCGATCTGGTCCGGGGTGGAGCTGGCGCTGGGGATCGTGGCGGCGAGTGTTCCGAGTCTGAGGCCGGTGCTGGACCAGCTGGCGCCGGGAGTGTTGTCGTCGGTGGGGCGGAGTCGTTCTCGCGAGTCGGGGGCAGCGGGTCAGAGGCGGTTGGCTGGGCCGTTCCACGAGGATATTTCGCTGGTCCGGTTGACGGGAAAGGGAGGGGATGGGGGTTGTGGTTCGAGTGCTAGTATTCTGCGGGGGTCGTCTGGGGGGCAGTGTCTCGCAGGAGCGTAGATAGGTTATTCTCGAGCTAGCTTCTTTGAGGTTGGAAGGTCTTGGGGGCTTGGACGGCAATGAAGGTGTGCTCAGCTGGGAGCGGACACAGTCAGAGCCGGCGGTGTCTACACCTCCGGGTCCATTCGTATGATCGATGAATACTGGATGCATCATCGAATAGTCGGTCAGAGAGAATGGAGCGTCTGGAACAGAATAGGCGAATGAGGGGTAGACGGCGAGGGAATAAGTGTCTGGTTGGATAGCTTATCATCCCTTGCAGGGATCCCGGGACCCCGTCATGCAGGGAGTCGTGCTCCTCGTGCTGTTGGGTGAGTCGCGACAGACCATCGCCCTTTGCTTGTTGATGACAGACGGTCACGGAAGCACTACTGGCCATTATTCCGCCTGAGATGCTTCTGCCCGTCATCCTGCTTCTGCCAGTCATCCATGGTGGTGTTAATCAGTTGAACTGGGGCGATCGACGGTGGACGGGATTAGGGCTTTCCCGGTCAGCCACCCGCTCCGGAGGGTTCCCTCCCCACCGTGCAAGATTCCTTATCGAGACTCACAGGCAGACCGTCGCCTCACTGACCCATCAAGCCCACCCTTGGTGGGCT